GTTGTGGGAAATGGTGTTTGTTAGATGCCATTAAAACAGAAATACTAAATAAACAATGATAATACATAACTTTTTACATATACATTTTACATAAGTTTCACCCTCCTCTAGAAAAATGCAGTGAACACGTTTTAAAGCTGAAACTGACCCCATGATTGATGTAAATTAGCTGGATAGTCCAAAGACTGAGACCGAGTCCAAATGAGAGAGACAGAATGCTTTTGCCATTGCCAATGAGAAGAGTTCTGGCAGCCAGGCATATGATTGCAAGTGACATTGACTGGCCAGCGGCCAATGTCAATTCCCGCTCTACTTGGATTTTGTATTAAACTAATACCCATTTTCTGAACAAGCAGGTTTCTCTGGTGAAAAAAAGAAAAAAACATATATTGTTGGAGTCAGCTGAGACCAATGACCAAGTCCAAGACAAGTCTCGAGTCCGGACTTGAGTCTTACAGCACTGTCTTAGTAAAGATTACTCAACAGTTATTGGAGCAGAGAGCAAAAGGGGCGGGACGTAGGAAGGGACAATTGTCATAATTTGATTTGTGGATGTGATTTTGAACACTAAAATAAGGAAGTCTTTTTCCTTCACTATATTCCCTTTGAAGACAATCAAATCACGTAATAGCAACATTAGAATATTATGACGCAGGCTATTTGTTGTTATTTCATTTCAAAGCCACAGAAGAGGAGACAAACAGCAGAGAACAAACCTTGATCATAGAGCTGCGCGACAATGCAATCATATTCTAATTATAGGCACAGTAACCACATCCTTGCAAGCCTGGAAATGGACTGTTTATCAACCGGATGACTGCACACAACCAGCCTGCTCTAGCACGAGGAGGGATATGGTGGCCCGAACGGGAGAGATGGAGCAGAGGCTTTTAGCCCGTACTGTCCTGAGAAGGCAGTCGGGTAAAGTAGCTACTTTAATCACCTCCATGAGCTACTTTTAGTGGCTAAAATGTCTTGTTAAACTCTGTTTTAAGTTTGTGACAACAGACCTGTAACACTGTTCAGTAGCCAGTCTCAGATTTTACACACTGTCACCAGCACATGAAGGCAACACAGTAGTCACAGAACTAACATGATTAGCAAAGAAACCCTAAGGATACATACCTAAATGTTTTCTTTTTTCAATTGATTTTAATTGACTCACAAACTTACTGTCTTATAGGCTTTTCACCTGCATGAGATTTTAAGCCAGTTTCAATTGTCTCAATTTACTCACTGCCTTAAAGGACCAGTGTGTAGGATTTAGTGGCATCTAGCGGTGTGTATAGGAACTACGGTGGCTCAAAACTAGCACAGAACGCAAAAGGCCCTATCTAAACAGTGGGAACTGCACAAATCACATAGAATCTGATCTTTTCAGATGTGCTCCAAATCAGATACAGGTCAGATTTTTTGTATGTGAATTTTATGTCACTCTAGATCTACTTTCATCATGCGGGTCACTTTAGGACTGTGACCTGTTCACATTGGAATATTATGTGGGCCACATTTAAAAAACAATGTGAAGAGACAAGCAAAACTAGTCAAGTTGCAGATTCACATTATTAATGCAAACAATAAAACTAAAAAATTATTATGCATTATTATAGATTAAGCTAACAAGTAGTATAAAGCAATCAAAATTAGCTCCATCTTCACTAGCTGCAACATTCAACAATTATAGCAAATATAGCCATCCATACATTAGTGGTATGTTAAAAAGTAACTTCAGGTTCAGGTAACGGAGTTGGTATCGGGAAGGAAAAAATGGCATCGGAACATAATTTATTGTATCACAACTGAATACAAAATAATAGCGTTAAACTGGAAAATGCTGAATATCTGATCCCTATACCATATACTGGGATGCAGAACCGTAATAACCATTAAAAGTGGGCTGGCAGATCTTACAGTAATATCCCTAAACCAGTCTTTTAGTGTTGAAGAAGACAACAGTGTTTGTCAGTTACCCTGAAAGGCCTGAGAAATAGCTCCTGCTGCCCTACTACAGTACATAGTTCAGCTGTGTGGGATTTATGTAACTTGAGATATTTCAAATCGTTTCAGAATCATCCTGCCAACTCAAATAAGCTTCTAAAATGAATCCAACATCTGTCTAAAATTAGGTTTTACACAATACATAGAAACAGTTTCTTAAGCTTCTGGCACACTGTTCAAATGGATTCAGATTCATTCTTTTTTTTTGTGTTCTTTTTAGAAAAATGAATTTCAAATGTACAAAATTCTTCCGACAAAGTCTAAAGTGTCCTTGGCAACACAGACTTCTTTCCATTCTGCCACAGGCTGATTTCATGACTTGAAAAGACCATCATTTTCCAGTTGGTAATTATGAGCAGTAAATAATATGTTCCTGAAACCACATGGATGTCCGACGTCAGCCATAGTCCATGATTAGAGGTAACAGTACCCTGATTTTGAACATGCACTCCATTTATGTAATTACCATAATTGATCAAATACCGTAACAAAATTGGTAGTGCACTCTTGATGAAAAATGATACATACACTACGTAACACTGTACAGCCTGATTCACACTCGTACAGGCAGCAACTAATGGATGTAGACACACCGTTAATCATTTGTTTGCATATCAATACTTCTCATTAGACTTGTCAATGAACAGAACAACAAAGACAAAGCATCATTTTACCACTTCTCTAACAGTATCAGTAATTCATCACATGTACTTCAAGTGCCCATACTCTCACTGCACTGTTTATATAAATGGCCCCTTCCTAAGTCCCGCCCCTTTTTGCTCTGTACTCCAATAACAGTTAAGTAAGGCAAATCTTGGTCACGTTCTCCTTTCCTTTTCTCAGATATGCTATGTGCTAGGCTAAAAAGTAAAAGTGACATAGTCACATGTTGAAAGGACCAGTCACCAGCCACTGCGCTGCAAATTGGCTAGCTTGTGAGCATCAAGATTCTACATGACGCTTAGAAGTTGCATACTGGACGAGGATCGACTTCCAGACTATTTGGGATGTCACAAATCCTGCTGGTAGTCTCCGCCCCTTAAAATCTGATTTTCAGTGAGCACAGAGAAAGTTTCAACTTTCAGCAGATGAATGTGAAAACATCCTTCTAGAGTCAAACTCACAGACAGCATTTAAACATCAAACTGTAGAAACAAGAGGAAACACTGGTTTCTGACTGGAGGGGGGCTTTAAAGGTGCCCCGTGGAGTTTTGGACCTTTAGGTGCAATATGGATCTGGGTTCACTTTTTCTTTAATCATAAACATGGATGTAAGCTTTGCAATTGTTTTAGTGGGGAAGTGACAAAATGCACTCTACACATTTATTAGCTCAGGGATACACACAATGTGTTTTGGTGAGACACTACGCTGACCGTAACCATGACTTTTGTGTGTTTACAAGAAAACCTCACAGGGAACCTTCAGTCTGTGTGGGGCGTGTTCATATACAGAGATTTAACAGATTTAACCAATTTATCCCCGGGATCAATACAGTATTTCTGATCCTGAGGCTTTGAGCATCCATCAGGCTCCTGCTCCTGTCTGGCTGGAACCCATGTCACTGACCCTCATACCACTGGTACAGTTAAGCTGTCAGTGAATGAGGAAACCATCACTCCTCTTAAGTGAGTACATGATTTTACTGTACTGTATTTACTGGATCACTACGTACAACAATCACAACAACTCGTATTATCCTGAAAATGAGACTGGACACTGGAATGTACACTGTCCACAGGACTTGGTATGAACTTTGCTTAAAAACAATGTTAGCTAAGCAAACCAGACTTCAAAAATGTTTGCGAGTGCTTCAGTGGCCAAAAGTGACCGAAAATCAACACTGTGGTTTCAAGGTCCAAAACAACAGGCATAAGATCATCAGCAGTCTCAAGCCAAACGTACAGGTTGTCAGAACCACTTATCAAAGTGAACACAGCAGCACTACTACACGGTTTAAGCAAGGGCTCGATTCCCTCCAGGCTGCCTGCTCGCATTCAAAATGGATGTGCTCACTAAGTCAGCCGAATGAAATAAAATAATAATGATGAGAGTTAATAATACATGAATAGACATGAGTGTCAGAGGTACTGGACTGGCAGGAAGAGTGGGGATCGTGACCACATGGATTCATTGTGCTACCTTCAGAGCCCTGTAATATAAAAGTCATGCCCCCATTCACCTTAAATGATCCTGAAATCCCCAAAGACAAGACAAGAGTGCAAGAGGAGCACTTTGGTGGCACCAAACTAGCTTCACAAAGAGTATAAATGTAGCACGGTGTAAAAAATCCTATTCAGCTCCTGCTTACCACGTAGAGTGTGCGTGTACGTGCGTGTATGTGTGTGTTACAGGCCCAATAACCTAGTGAGCAGTTATGGGGGTCGGGAACAAGGACAAAGGATGAAAGCATCTCAGGTAGCTGGGCAGGTATAGGTGCACAGAGCATCTCCCAGCAGACCATTTAATGTAGTTTTATGGCCAAAGAAGGACTGCTGTAGTCTACACTAATCTTTCCAGTGGTCATATTCACCACCAGTAATCACCTCTTTTTGATTTTTCTTTTCTGCTCTCACGTTCTTTAAATCACAATCCGGAGATGTTTGTGGGGAACGGCGCCCACCAGTCTAAAAGTTAAGATTTTATTGATATTAAGTGTTTCTTGGTTGGTCACTTGTGTGCCGAAGTTAGCGGAAGATGCCATATATGGTGTGAAGATGCCAAGTTGCCCTCTACGGTGTGTGTAATTTTGGCGTTAAGCGAAGGGATGCTGAATTGCGTTAGTTTTGAATTGACTTTGGCGAACAACGCTCTCAAAACAATAGCGAGCGTGCCGCTCCCGCATCGGAGGTACATCACAGGCAGCCAGCTGGCAGAGCCATGAGCCCGCAACAAAACCACGTATTGTCTCGACATCATAAAACCCTCAAAGGGCGACGCTGTCCTGTTAGCCAGAGAGCTTGTGCCTTATAACATCATGACAACAATGGCAGACGCCGCTCACCTCTAGAAAAAGCCAGAATGTCAGGGCGACATCGGCCAGTGGGTTCCTCATATCTCCGCCGGTAGGAGCCGAGCTCCGCTTCTGCTCAGAGGGAGAAAGAACGAGGAGGAGACGCTCCTTTATCACTATGTCGCTCTCATCCCGCTACCGGAGACACCCAGAGTCCAGACCCAGCCGGTCCGACACGGAGTCCCGCTTCGGGTGACAGGACGGATGAAGGCAGCCCTGGGTGACGGTCAGACGGTCCACAGACGGAGATTAATGGCATGCTGGGAAGCTGCATTACCCTGTGATGTTGTTGCTTATTCCACGCCCCTTTCCCTCCCCCACCCCCGCCCTGTACGCACGTACGCACGCACGCACGCACGCACACTCACACAAACACAGATTTGTTATTATACTCAAGAGTGATTTCTATTGGTTTCATTCGTGGTCTAGTAAAACTGAAAATGCTACAAAGCCCGCATAAAAAATATATACACAGTCCAAGGTCCAGTGTGTAACAGTGAGGAGGATCTACTGGCAGAAATGGAATATAATATTCATAGCTATGTTTTCATTAGTGTATAATCACCTGGATATAAGAATTGTTGGGTTTTCGTTACCTTAGACTGAGCTGTTTTAATCTGGCTGACATGGCGGAGTCCGCCATGTTTCTACAGTAGTCTACAATGATGATAGCATATCATATTTTTTCATTTCAATTCCACTCCCCAGTATAAAAAAGATACTTTGTGGTATTCTAAGAGGAAAGTTGTACTGTCCTCTTAGGCTTGAAGTTGAGGCGGTGCACTACAGAATAAACTGGGAGTAATAGTCATTGCATTAATATGTAATATTTAACTGCCATTTAATAATTAGACCACATATACACAAATAATTTCTAAAGTAAAAAAGTATAAAGTAGTCTAACAGCTTTTATATCTTATTCTGTGAGAAGAATAGGTAGTCTAAGAGCAAAGATATTTTAACTTTTAAGTCTCACCACACAGTTGTCATACTGTCTGTCTGTCTGTCTCTGTCTCTCTCTCTCTCTCTCTCTCTCACCCCAACTGGTAGCGAAGGATCTGTCCTAGGTTTCTGCCTTTTAACAGGCAGTTTTTCCTTGCCCTTGTCGCCAAGGTCTTGCTCATGGTGGTACTGTTGGGTCTCTGTAAATAATGTTTAAAGAGTTCGGTCTAGACCTGCTCTATTTGAAAAGTGTCCTGAGATAACTTCTGTTATGAATTGGCGCTATACAAATAGAATTGAATTGAAATTGAAATTGTTTTGAAGAACTAGTGGACACTTCCTGCTCACAAGTGGGGAATTTTTCTCTGGAGAACCACCAGCTCTCTTCTGCATTGAACCTATGAGCATAAGTGTGTTTCTTTGTCTTTGCTGAATTTAGCCTCTGTAGTTCCCATTCTGTGCCCTTATGCCTGTTTGTCTCTGGGGCGGAACAAGTGCGTAACACTTTATGGCAGTAGTCACACCATAACAACTATTTCACTGATTTTGGTGAAACTGGGAAAATGGCTGTTCCACCTCAACTCTGAGTTAGAAAACCAGATGTGCAAAAATGCTAACTAATTTCTGTGTTTCAGGTCTCATTCCTGCAGTACTCTATAATGTCAAAAGGTTGCTTGTAGTGACAAACCCTAAATATCACTAACTCTGCTGTTGTTTAGCTCATTAGTTTTTATGGCACATTAACTGCCAGGCAGTTCAGCAAACAAAGCTCTTATAAAACCTGCTCTACCCAACATATACTTCCACCCCTTGATTGGTGGACACCAAAGCAGGGTTGCATAAATATTGACTTTACATTTATCAGGTTGCTAGAAATGGGTCTGCAGAATGTGTAAGTAGGCACATTATCTTTAACCATAAAAGCCATTATAAATCATTTAAGGTGATTGAGACCATAAACTCATTAGGAAACTGTTTACTGAGCTAATACATCAAGTGAAAACTAGGGTCATTTCTCCATTAGACTCAATACCATCAGACTTCTTTCTTGTAGCCCATGGAACTGCCCCTGCTGGCCATTAGAAAGAATGCAGTTTTAAGACACCATATTGGCTTCTCATCACATACTTTAAAAGGATAACACTGACATGAGCTTATCTTTATTATCTTTATTAATTCCATTGAGTAGTTGGCAGTAGATACAGAAAACACTGGGAATGAGAAAGCGCTTAACCATTAGGCTAGCAGGTTGTTCACTTTTTCTTCTTTTTAAACCCATAAATCCCAGAAAATGACCAAAACCAACAATAAAATGATCTGACTAAAAATAGTGACATATATGAAGCTCTCTGTATTGTTTTCTTCTTTACATTTCACTGTAGCTATCCAACTAGAGTGTGTACTTCTGAAGGGCTTCACACACGTGTCAATTGTTGCACTCAAGTGGAGTGTTTCAGATTCAGCACCATGGACAGCACCTGAGCAGAGGCAGGCAGCTGAGACAGAGGAGACAGAGGAGACAGCTGGACAGGTGCTGGCAGGGGGACACAGCAGACTCTGCAGCGCAGAGCTTTTTGATTGGTTGGTCCAACAGAGCAGGAAACATGCAGACTGAATGTTCTACCCAGCGCCCCAGGAACACCGCTGGGTGTGAATTTGGCCCGGTGGCCACAGTCGGGATTGCAGGTCACCTGACACACTGTCCCACACCGTCATTACATAAGACACAGACACTCCAAAATGACTTTCTGTATGAACATTTGATTCATACACATCCAATAAAATATGATAAGTTACTAACAACATTCTCCATTACCCAAGTGTCCCAGTAAGCCATGACAGTGAGCCAGCCTAGCACAACACCAGGAGCCTGATTCTGAAGCAGCTAAATGGAATACAGCCATCATTCATTTGATCATTTACACCTGAGCTTTTCCTACTGTCACATGAAAAATGTCTGCTGTAAAAGTATTAAGACATAAAGACATTAAATAGTGCATAAGCTAAAGTAACGGAATAATATATATATGAAATCAAATAAATACTGTGGTAGACAGGTGTGCAGTAATTATACAATGAATAAACTGTATGTAGACTGGTTGTGCTTTTCTTGCCCTCTCTATCAAAGCATGGTGGCATAATATTATAAGCATAACTGACTTTAACTCAAAGAACAGAAATACTTTCTTATTCCCACTCTGACACAGTTTAAGTCACAGTCAGACCTCTGTGAGGCATGCACAAGCATCCCCAATTCCCAAAAGTGTGAGCTCCCCCAAAAGCCATGGTATTGTTGGCAAACTGCGGTAATCAATGCACAACCAGCAGTGTTTACTTTAATCACACAGTGTATATTATCATGATCACTGATAATCAGAAAGTAAGCATATTCAAGGACCTAATAGGGTTAGACCATCCTGGCCTGAGCAGTCCTTGTTAAAGGACCAGTGTGTAGAATTTAGTGCCATCTAGTGGTGAAGTTACAAATTGCAACTAACTGAATACTGCTTCCGTGTGTATTTTGACGAGAACAGGCTGTGAAGTGTGTCGGAGAAACTAAGGTGGCCTCGAAACCAGTCCCTATCTAGAGCCAGTGTTTGGTTGTCCGTTCTGGGCTACTGTAGAAACATGGTTGTTCAACATGGCCATAGAAGAGGACCCGCTACCTCTGTAGATAAAAACAGCTCATTCTAAGGTAACAAAAACACAATAATTCTTATTTTCAGGTGATTATACACTAATGAAAACAAATCTTTAATAAGGGAGTTGGGAGAAGAGTGTCTTTATAATAAGGTGCATGGCACTGCTGTACTATGGAACAGGTTTGTATAGGCGAGGTACAGGTTGGCAGGAGAGTCACTTATAAAATGTAGTTTCCTTGGGAACTATCACCTTCACACAGGTAAAAGTGTAATGAATATGATCAGGAATATCCCAACCTATCAGGAGGAGTGTAACACTAAACTGATGAATTGACTGATTGCATTCTGAATCTAAACCCTTCATATTCTGGATTTGTATTGTGCTTTCTGCAGAATAAAGAATGAATTACTTTGTACCAAATGAAGTAGAGTTTTATTCTTCCGTCTCAGTGTTTGGTTCCTAACAACCTGATAGGAGTTATTTATTTAAAGTTGTTTAAGGCAGAACGAGCAGCAGAAAATCAAGCTAGGTGACAGGCTTTGGAGGAAAAATGCATCAAAGTATTGTGTGGTCGATAAATAAATCCTCTGAGCAACCAACATCAGACTAGAACTGTAATAGATCCGCGTGGCAGGAGCTGTTTTGAATAAAAAGCTTGAGCATTGATGTTGGATGGCTGGGGGGCATTTTGAACCAGACAGGTGGGCTGTGCCTATCAAGGTGAAGCTGCAGTTCTCGGAACATTTCCATATGAAGTTAGATGTTAGTGAGAGTGAGTTACACAGCACACTGCTGAACTGCTTCCTACTGACCGGTGGCTGTTACACCAGTGCCACGCTACCTGTGTTTGTGAACTCACTATTGATTTCAGTCCACTGGCACCAGGCGCCTGCAATTAACGGCCCATTATGTGGGAAATTAGCCTCTATACTTTGATGTTGTTCCATTCTGTGGAGGAAAAACTTACAGAGACCCTCTGCAGTGTGTGTGTGTGTGTGTGTGTGTGTGTGTGTGTGTGTGTGTGTGTGTGTGTGTGTGTGTGTGTGTGTGTGTGTGTCTGACAGGAGAGAGAGCAGGAGAGCATAAAGCTAGATGTTAACTGTCAGGGAGAAGAAATTAGTATAGACAGCTGCTCTTTGTAGCACGCCCTGGGGGAGAGACCGTGGTGAGTGAGTGAATGAATAAATGAGTATATGTTGAATAATCTAAAAAATCCTAAATAAATCACAGTGTCAGGTAAAAGACAGCTGGTGACATTTTGTTTGGCTCATAATAGCTTTTTATGATCATAAAAAGCTCCAATCACTTTCAAACACCACTGATGTGTCCATACTGGCTACTTATGATCAGACTTGTTCATTTGCAGCAACAGGTCTAAAACCCATTATTTCTAATGGCTTGCGCAACAGCTTTCTGCAGCACTGCTTGGTGAACTCACACTGTGACAAATAATTGTGGGCCAGTAAGAACAAAGCAGTCAGCCAGACATGGAAGACAAAATGGAGGTAAAGCTAATATTGTCAATTGTATAACAAGTATATGAGACCTGAGGAGGAAGCTCTAACCTCAACACATTTCAAACCAGGCAGGCATATTACTAGCAGGGCTAGCACACGCTTCTAAGCACAGGGCAGATGCATATCTGTTGCTGGCAACAACAAAATAACGTAATCTTGCTAGAAGTATTGAAAACGCCTATTTTATTGTTTTA